GTTATACCTGCACTTGCATTACACCTGAAAAGGAAGCACTTGTACATGTGCAATTCTTTCACGATGATTTGCCAGCCGTCTCTAATGTGTAAATTACACAAAGGCAAGTCAGTTGTATCTTAACATTTAAAGCATCAGCAATCACATGATCATCTGTGTCAGAATTAATGGACACAATGCATCCTCACAATGTTCAATGAAGCTGAAAAGAGTATAAAATGCTTTGTGGCATAAGCAGTTGGAATCATCAGAAAAGACTGGAAAGTATCTTGAGACGGAGCTTCATCTTGTCCATTTTCAGAAGTCCACTTCACGGTGAGTATTGTCCTGTGGACTGCCATACAGCTGGCCACTGTCTTGGAAGGTTTTTATAAAAGCTGAATTATTTTTTATATTATTTTCTACATCATATACTTTGTTTTACAGTTTTTAACATGAAGTATTCAAAATAATGATTACAAACATAAGGTTTATATTAATATATTGAGTTACATTTATTGTAACATGTATTGGTTTTTATGTTAAATTTTAATTTTAAATATTACATTTAGGCTTTGTAATGCATTTTATTTAATTACTGATTTTTTAAACCACAATATATTTTGTAGGTATGTGCAACTGCATAAATATATTTCTTGGTTTAAGGAATGATGTGTTTCTGTAAATTTGTTTTTAAGTTAGCAATATATTTTTTTTTATATATCAAACTGTTTTAAGGGTTTAAAAATGTAGTTTTATGAAGTATTTTTAAATCTTCAAATTAAGTTAATTGAATAAAAAGGTTTACTTACAACCACCTACTAAATAAGGTATGTTATGCAATATTAACACTGAAAATACTTAATATTAAAAATCCACATCGATAATTATTTATTGATGAAAAAACAAACAAACACGTGAACTGCTTCTCTTTCCCTGTTAGTTGGGATAAACTTTAGTCTATAGGCTAGATGCTAATAGGTTTGGCTATTCAGCTTCCTGGTCTTTGGCAGAATACTAGGCAAACTCATGTGCATCATAATTTGTTGAAGATTAAAGGTGCCAATCACTTCTTTGTGTTTTCCTCTAATCCTTAAATTTCTACAATACAAACATCTAATTTAAATAGCCAAACTTTGTATCGTGCATAAGATAGGGAAAACAGTTTTGCTATGTGCATAATCTTTAACATTCAGTTCACTTAACCACACAATTTATATGACCAGATTTTTTTTGTGGTAATGTTGTATTACAACATAATGGAATATTGGCACAATCGATGGAAACTGTTATTGTTTAATCTGTTGCAGAAAAACCATGAAAAGCATTTATTATATGGTGGGGCTTCTTTTTATGTTACTGCAAGGAAGTTTCCAAAGTCCTATCCAGGAAACAGAGGACAAGTCCAGGTATGTATCAAACTGACTAAAGTTAATTTTATTTGTTTGGGTATTTTTATTATTATATTGAAGATTTGGTTAATTAGTGACCTCTAAGCTGTTGAATAGCCACATATCCCAGTAAATAATATCCCTTGCTTTCTAGTAAATCATGCTGGAATGTATCATTTCTTAGAGCAAGATGACTGAAGGTTTTCTATGACTGTTGACAAGGTGCTAAAGTTTTATGTAATTCAGCCTACTGATAAAGATGTACTAAAATGTCAAAGACTTAAATGGTTAATCTTCCCAAAAGTCATATTTTGTTAATTGGTGACCTGTGGAGTGCTGAACCACTCCATAGTCTCCTATATCCAATGTGGATTCTAGCAGTCGGATCTCTTACAAGAGAAATCTCAGCGTTCTTTCTTGTTGCATTTTTCATAGCATCCAATATTACTAAAAAAGAGGGACCCACTTTCCCCAAATGATGGCTATGTTAGGGGAGTATGGTTGGAAAATCAGATGCATTAATCTCACTAGGTTTATGCTGGCCTTACCATCACCAAGGAATTGAGCATTCAACAGTAATATACCACCCATGGGTTCAATAGTCCTCCATCTTTAATCAAGCAATCAAAATTGTGATTGAAACTGATGAAAACCAATGCATTCAATCAAAAGGCATCAATTTTATTCTCAATGTTGATTGGCCACTGGGTATTGACTGAAATTGTGGGTGGCAGATTATTGGGGGTCATTTAATTAAATGCAAACCTTTTTATAGTTTTTTTTGTCATTAGAGCCTGACAGAAAACATAAAAGATGACAGTTAGTAATTAAGCATACCATATTTACCTAGAACTAAAATGACAATTTTGGGTAGGCTATTTTTTAGCCAGTTCTTAAAAGTCTATTTTTCTTTATAATTAATTGTTAAACAACAGTAAAAGATATAAATGTGTATATATGTACAGCGCTGAGCAAACCTTTTTGGCGCTATATAAATCCTGTATAATAATAATAATAAATGATGTTATTAATAATTGTAAGAAAGTTTGTTACTCCTATTGTTACTTCATTCATTTCATTCTGCTTTCTCATTCCACTATCTTGTGTCTTTATAGCAGGAAGTGCAGACAACATTAACTATTCCATTATAAAAAGAAAAAAACTTTACAATGTGTGTAAAGGCTTTTTTTAGGTTAACTACAGTATTTTTTCCAAAGCAAAAATCTTCTCATATAAAGCCATCCTTTATTGTATTTACAGTTTTTTTCCCTAAGAAGTAATTTTATCTCTTATAGCTACTTTTAACTTGAGAAAATACGTTCTAACTGAAAAAGTCCATTTAAGGTTTTCGGGGGGGGGGGGAATGTATCTTGTGGTGTATTATTTTAAGAGCCTGTAACATGGCAGGTTATATAAACCACATGTTCTTTGCGTCCACGCAGTGTTTCTAAGAATTACAATATGTTACTTGTATGTGAAGATGGTATCATTTCAATATGCCCAAACTAATTTAACAACTTCTCAGTAAAATAAAAACTCCGTAGGATTAACACACATAAGTCCAGTTTGTGCAACAATTAATTAGGATTGATGTACTATTTTGCTGGAAAAGTATACAGCCTAGATGGAAAGATCACACTGGCCTTCTGACATGCTACACATTGTTTTATAGTTAAGCACAGTGGGTTTATTTACTAAAAATGGGGAGTGAAAAATCAGGCTCACGTCTGCATAGAAACCAATCAGCTTCAAGGTTTTATTGCCAAATCTTAATTGAGCCAGCTGAGGTTAGAAGCTGATTGGTTTCTGTGCAGAACTGAGCCTGATTTTCCCTCCCCCATCTTTAGTAAATAAATCCCAGTATGTCTTCAAAATGGATCAGTCCAAGTCTTGCCTTATTGGTCCACCCCTTATTGGAAGGTGATGGCTCATCCCTGCACCCATGTAAAAAAGAATGATATCTATTTAAATCTATACTAAGCTTGTGCAGCTCAACAGGAGAGGTACATGTTGTGCTTTTTCTATTAAGAGAATCCCTCAGTGTGGCTGATTCACTAAAGGAGTTGAGAATTTTCACTTAATAAATTTAGTGCAATTTCAAATCAATTTTATAATCATGTGAAAAGCAAAATCCTATTCACTCTGAATACTTAGTCATGTGCAGGTTAAATGAGTAAATGGTAATTTGCTTCACACATTGTTGGCTAATTGTAGTAAATGTACGTTCAATATTTTGAGTGAATTCTCTCTCTCTACTCATTTATAAAATGAGCATTAGGATGTCAAAATGCCCATGTGGCATTATCCTAAATTATTGAAATCTAAGCTTTTAATGCAAGAGTCTGAAATAATAGTACTAGGGGCAGGAGCTAATAACCTGTTTAATATATCATAGTTTGGTTTGTTCTTTTTTTGTTTAATAATAAGGGACAAGAATAATGTGTGTATATGAGAATTTTAATGGATATTACATTTCATAAAAAGTTTTTTTGGCAAGCAGAAACAGATTACTTCGACTAAGTTCACCAGTCTTAAACTGTTCCTTCCTTATTTTAATTTACTAGTTAATTTTAAATTAATATATTTCATTAGTCATCCTTAAACCATTGCTAAAGGTATTACCTAATTTTAGATTTTTAGATAAAGAAGGTTGTCTGCTCAATATTTGGCAGATTTCTGCTCACTTCCTGTCCCAGAGGCACAACAGGATGTGAGAGGATATCTCTCCAAAATGAGGGAAAAATCCCACACTTGAACATTTGTCGTTGAAACAGGTATCCCTATTAGAAGATTTGCTCTCTATTCCTGTCTTGGTGACAGCTGTAAAATTTTGGATTTCCTATTACTTTCTTTCTTGGTGACCGTTATCATGACAAAGGATACATCTCGACTGTGAAGACATAGGAATTGATTTACTACCGGCAGATTCCTTTACAAAGGAATTTTCCCTTAGGTTAGTGGATGTGATGAAAATTCACTTTGCATGTGCAAGGAAAGAAATAATATTTTTGCTTGCACATGATTTAGATGATGGAAGTCAGCAGAACTTTTCCTTATTCACTAAGTTAAGGGAACATTTGCTAGCAAAGTGAGCAGCCTATTTGCTTTTAGTAAATCAACCCCATAGACAACTAAAACAATGCAAAAAACAACACAGATGTCTTAACACTTCCACGATATATTCAAAATTTAAAAAAAAAGTTTTGGCTTTAATTATATATTTTAATTTTATCAGGATGAAGTTATTGAAAAGTATTGCACTTTAGTAATCACTTTCATATTGTCCTGTGTAGGGGAAAAATTTGCAATTATTTCTTTATCTGTAGTTTGGCGAACCAAGACCTATTTTTGATGAAGATGTTAAAAAACAGTTTGTATCTCATATATCAGATCACATGATTCTAAAAGAGATCAACTGGATTTAAAAAATTAAATCTTCTAGGCTAGTATACATTGTTGACCAAAGATAGAGAAATTGAATGTACCCAACCACCCTGTGTTTGGTCATGTAGGCTAGCTATAGAAGTTCAGAATAATACCCCCTAGGCTCTTGATAGATACTTATATCATCAATTAAAAAATTGTATACGCAGATCAGTCAAAGCTCCAAGGACTGAAGCACTAGATGATTCAGATCACCACAATGAAGTTAAACGTCATTCACAAGGCACATTTACTAGTGATTACAGCAAGTACCTAGAATCCAGGCGGGCTCAAGACTTTGTCCAGTGGTTAATGAACTCAAAAAGAAGCGGGTAAGAAATATGGAGCCAACAGAGTTTAACGTTCTGTATTAGATGGTAAAATAAAGGTCCCCACCAATTCTGTGCCCTAAGTCAAACCTTTCTGTTGTTATGACCCTGTGCTTTAAATGTGTCCATTGAACCTTACCATCATTGTTTAACACTAACCTTGGTTTTGTGGTTTGATCAATTTACTTTTTTCCCTCTTAAACCCGAATTTATATTGTGTGTGCAACATGTGTACTGTTGATGATAAGTAAATATTTAGCATACTAGAGCTAAACAAATTGTTCACACTTGTGAAGAGACTTAGGTAATATCCTTTGGACCCAAAGCAGCACATGTAATGGGGCTCTCAACATTTTCCCAGCATTCAAAATTTGACCTATTTGCAGAAATAACCTGTAAAAATGTGGGCAAGAAAACACCTTTTAGCTAAAACAAAAGGTTTGTGAATTCAGAAAAAACAAACAATTATACTAGGTGGATGCAGCATCGATGCACTGAGAGTTGAGTGATCAAAGGCTGCTGATTGCTCGGTTCATGGTTTTCAGTGAGCAGAGAGTCGGTGACTGTCAGTCACTAGCTCTATGCTGTGCCCTTCATGCACTCATGAGAGCATCAAGCTGTGGAGTGGGCAGGAGTAGCTGTCTCAGGCACTCAGCAGGTTGCAGAGAGGCTGAGCCAGGTGTCAGTCCAGGTATCTGGGTGGATCCCCATTTCAAAGTTGGGGTCTCTCCAGAGCCTAGACTGGCTCAGTGATGTCAGCTGATAGCAGACTTTAGCCCACTGTCGACTGAATACGGATCATAGGAGTGCAGAACTAAGTGCACTATTGTAATCCACAGGAGAAGTAGGGCCAAAAGAGCTTTGACCCTACTTCTCCTTTAATTAACACATCATCCGTGCTGCAGGAAAAGAGACATGCATGCTTAAAGCAGGATCAGAGCTTTGCCAATTTGCCCAAAATTACAGATTTGTAAACTATGCAACTGCATATGTACATTTTTTTGTTTTGGACAGAATAGGTAATGGTTAAGACCCCAATTGGGTTTTTTAATTTGTCTTTGTCCCATCAGAAAGATTACCATTCACATTCTGTACCAGAGACACACTAGGCAGTGAGTGGAGGTCTTTCCAAGTGAAGGGATATCCAGAACAGGTTTCCTCAAAGGATGTTTTTTCTCCCCTTCTGTTGCTGTAACAATTCAAAAACATTGGATTTTCCATCACTTTCTCTTTGGGTAACAAAGGTTACCAGGACCAAAACTGAGGATGAATCTCCTCAGCAGAAACAAAAGCAGCAATAAAAAAAAATCCTCGGAGATGTTTTTACCCTTTCACAGTTTATCTAAAAAGATTTTCACCCTCTCTTTGTCCTGGTGACCATTGTCACTGAAACAAAAAGTGTCTTGTTAAGTATGCTAGACCAGTGTTTTTCAAACCCTTGGTCAGTTGTGTACCACCATCACAACATTTGCAGTGTCAAAAAAATATTGCATTAGTTTTGATAAACATGTTCTTCAAGAATGCAATCTTCAAACAAAATGCATTACCTTAATTTCTGTCTAAATCTGGTCAATGCATCATGCTTGGAGTGGCCCAGTATCCAATCAAAATCCAAGGAAGCATAAACACTTCACATCTATGGTTAATAAACATGGGAATCTACTACTGCAGTGAGCATATACCCTCTCAAAAGTATGTTCTGTTGGGGACCACCTGCATGTTGACTATGTATCATGAGTGCAGCATGACCCACACTTTGAAAAACACTATTTTAGATGAACATCCCATACATATCTGCTTATAATTGTTACATTTGTTTTTCTAGAGGAATATCAAAGCGCAATGTTCAATTTGAGAGGCACGCAGAAGGCTCATATACCAATGATGTGTCCCAGTTCTTGGAAGAAAAAGCAGCCAAAGAATTTATCGACTGGTTGATAAAAGGAAAACCAAAGAAACAGTAAGGACACCACAAAGATATTTTCCTAAATTTAACTTTTTCTGTTTATAATGTACTTAATCTATTTTATTATCAGCCTTTTTGGCTACACTACACATACATTGTTTTACAGAGAAACCTAATCTTATTGAATGGGAAACAATCTTGTAATTCTTTGCTTTGTTTGCTATTTTTTACATCAATGTTTCTCTTTAGGCCGTATGGCAAATGCAAAACACAACATACTAAAAGATAAATCATTAACAAACAAAATACTTTAGCACAGATTAGATTAGAATTTACATGGAAAGGTTTTAAAGTTTGTTTTATTTGCTTTTATCCAACTTTCATGAAACAGAAAAAAGTCCTCATTTGCCACTGTTGCGAGCCATTTCAATGATCAATAGAATTCATCTACTGATATAAAGTGGGTCTTTCAGTTGTCTGTGGTCTATCTCAGATTTCTTTCACTGGAAAAAAAGAATAACAAAAAAATAAAAAACAAATAAGAACTGTAGTCATGCAATACAGATAGTTTTGTTAGGAGAAAGCTGTGAATGGGTTAGCCTAATATAAAAAATAAACTTGTCATAAACTTGTATTTGTTGTAAAATGCATAAGTAAACATTATGTTCACTGAAAAAGTGATTCCCATAGTGAACAGTAGATTGGAATAGAGGCAGATGAAGTTGGATACAAATCTTGACCTTTTTAAAAAAAAAAGTCAACTGCCCCTTCCCCTTCCTACCTTCTGAGATTCCCTATTGTTCACCAAGGCCATTCTTGATATTAAATTACCAATAGGGGTTTTCAAAAGGAAGAGGACATAGGGTCAAGTTTGAGTAAAGATTTGTGCATAACTTCAGCTTACTATATCACTTGATCTACTGATCATTTTGACAAAATGTACTGATGAATACTAATGCTAGTTATGCAGTGTTTTCCTCATATGCTCATGTGTGTAACAAATATACATTATAAGGTATTATATGGCAAATCACAGATGATGCTTGACATGTTTGTGAACTTGTCAGTTATCCTCAAATGATTTATGATTATAGAAAAAAATCTTCAGAAAGATCCTTAACTGGGACAAAAAGATGATCTTCCAAACCCATGCAATATTCTACTCAAGTGACTAGTTTTACAAAATGTCATGTTTCAATTGCTGAAGACAGCCACTGGAAATTTTAAACTGAGTTATGAATTCTGGGAGATGACTTTTTTTTACCAGTTATACACAATATTTTTTACTTTTGTATCTATAAATTTCACCATTTAGCAACTTGTATTAAAATTAAAGTGAATGTATAGCCCAATTTGTTTTAAATAGTTTCGATAGAGTAGGATAGGGTTAAAACCCTGTCAGTTTATTATTTGTTGTCATTATCCTATTGGGAAGATATCCCTTTACTTTTTTTTTTGGAGTACCAACAGAAAGTGAGAGAAAATATCAACAATCTGAGTTTACATCTCCATTGTCCCCAGTGTAACTGCAACAGGTGTTCCCATTGGAAATTTTTCCATACCTCTTATTCTGACAAAACTGTAAAATATTGGATTTTACATTACTTTTATCTCGATGACAATGGTCACAGGACAATTATCGAGTGGAAAAAATACCTAACAGAGACACAGACAGGAATAAAATCTTAATAAGTTATATACTACTTCCCTACCTTATCCAAAGCTGCAAAATAAAAAAAAAAAAGTATACGCTTTAAGAAGCCATGATATTGTGATGAATAATTGCAAGCATCCCAAATTAAAAATGTTTTTTGTTGTCCAGGAGATTATCTAGACATGCAGATGGAACCTTCACTAATGATATGACCAACTATTTGGAGGAGAAGGCAACCAAAGAATTTGTTGATTGGCTAATTAAAGGAAGACCAAAAAGAAAGTAAGGATTTGCATATTGACACTGATTTTGTTTATATTTTCCTATTTTACACTTTCATAATAAAAATAATATAAATAAATGTTTATGCCATAACCCTTTTGGCTCCTAAAATATATACTTATAATTTTAAAAAACTACATATTGTTAGTTGTTACTTACATAATACATAGAATATCCATAACATAGTACTAGGAAGCCTGTGTTGGTTGGAGGTGATGATAATAATTAATGAAATAATATTTAGCACCCCATATACATTTATATACAATACAAAACTAAAATACACTTTGATCCAATAGGTGTTAAAAAGAATTGTAAAAATATGTAAAAGTTTCAATAAAATGTGCCTGCCAAAATAAAACCTTTAAGTAGATTGTCTGCAGGTAAAAAATTTAATTATTAGATTGGGGATAATTTAAACTTGACCTTTATTTAAATATTAACCTAAAGCTATGTGAATAATGTTATTGGGATGGATACAAAATAGTAATTGAAGAGCTAAAATACTTGTCTTTGATGAAAAAAAAGGTTGCCCCCAGGCTCTTTTCAGTGCGGTTCATATACCAAAATCAGGTCATGGATCTTTTGAAGGGTAGGATGAAAGTCACATTTGGCTAATTCTACCCTTAGCACAAATGATCTGACCAAAGAACATTGATCATTTGAAAAACTTTGCAATAAACTCTTAAGGTGTCCAAACATGCTGAGATTCTAAACATAGAAGGAATGATGATTTACAAGCGTGAGTTCCCCATGATGTCAATGCTCAACAACAAGTAGCTCAGCAACTAGGGAGGTTAGCATGCACATTGACTGAGTAGATCTGTTAAAAATGACCATCCACATGGAGGTGAGCAAATATTAGGTTGTTCAGGAAGCGTTAGGTTTCCAGTTAGCTGTCTAAGTTTTAAAGTTGTAAATCATCATCTAAAGATTACCAACAATTACAAAAACAAGTTTACCTTACCTCAGCCACAGAAATTGTGTTTAGGGCCCCATTTATAAAACAGAAATATGTAAATGTATACAATTTCAGCATTGATCAGACTGCAAAAGGCAAAAGTTCAACAAGGTCAACTCTCATCTTTGAAATAACCTTAGTCATAAAGTTATCCTATATCTTTTTTATCATATCTTCCATGGACAATTATGTTTTAAAGATAAATTGACATTCCACACCCCCTCTTAAATTGAATTGCTCTTATTAATCTACAAATTGAGGCCTCCCCCCCTCTACCCTGTACTTGCTACCTACCAGTCCGACAACCATCCATTCAAATGTTTCCTAATATACACCATTAGATCCAGCACTGTTAGATCTCTCACAGCTTATACTAACATACCATATATTGTCTTTCTAGATTTGGCTTGTTCTCCAAATGTTGTGGCCATTGTTCTTGTCATTATTAATGGTATTCTCAACCAATAAAAAAAAAACAAACATAAAATAAAATGTTAATGGCATCCGATCCACTAGACAGATGGGGAATAGATCCACATCCATCTGTTTTTAGCGGACAGGATTGAATGTCAGCAGGTGTCAATGCACACATGTCCATTGACATATGATGCTGCATAGCAGGCAATAGAGGGTCCAATTTTGTCCACCTAAAAAAACTGACAGGCGGACTTGATCGGTTTGCCCGTGTAAAAGGGGCCTAATGTTTTTCACAGGGCAGTTTATGAACTTGCTTAGAGAATGGGGGGTCAAGGGATGACCTCATCAATGTACTTCTGCTTCTGCTGCTTCATCGTCTTACCACAGCCTAGGGTTGGAACTAGACCAGACTCTGTTGCCTAACTTTCTGCAGAAAGGTACAGGACATGTCTTTACTGCCTGGTGGGGTTTCCTGGATCACACGATCTGTGGCTCTACAGAATACTTTAAGAATGATTTAGAAGTATATATCTGCTATATGTCATGTATGTAACTGTGTATTGAGGCATTTGATATTCTGATTTAGTATAGAAAGAGTAATATTAACGTAAAATGAATAGAGAAGTTATTAAAAAACTCACTAACCTATATTAAATGCATTGTTTTTTGTTGCCTTTGCTATAGTAGTTTATTGCTCAGAAGTTTGTACTGATATTATGTGCTGATATTATAAAAAATGTGAAATGTGAAAAATGTGAAATTCAATATAGTAATTATCTTTTTTTTGTCTAAATAAAGTTTCCCAGATCTTTCAGCAGAAGAGATGGACAGAAGGCATGCTGATGGTAGTTTTACCAGCGACTTCAATAAAGCCCTCGATATTAAGGCTGCTCAAGAGTTTTTGGACTGGATAATTAACACCCCCGTTAAAGAAAGGTAAATCTATCTACAACATTATACAGTATAATACAATGCAAGGTGTTTACTTATGAATCAATATAGACAAAATAAAATGGAAACATTAAAATCAACCTGTACTAGAAGATATTACAGGGGGCTGCCTTTGCTAAATTCTTTCTAAGAATATTTGTCTGGTTGTCTCTAGCTTCAGTACTGACCTGGTATTGTGCCTAACAAGTAAATCAAATTTATTTACCTTGGCAGTGTGCTAGGTTACACTTTTTACCCTTTTGTGTTAGCCAGATGTCAGCAGAGGCAGCCTACATAATCTCTCCCTCCAGATGTGTATCTAAACTCAGGAAAAAAATATTTAATATATTGCAGCTTACCAGATGTGGTAGCTGCATTTGTTTTTATATTTTCAGGCTTGTATTCCCTTCTTTTCACTTGGTGATCCTGCCAGTAACAGACTTCCTGTCCTAGGGGGACAACGCATACTCACAACACTGTGTGGGAAGATTTACTAAAACTGGAATCTAGTGCGACTGTGCATGGTAGTCAATCAGCTTCTAAATTCACCTTATTCAGTTAAGCTTTGGCAATAAAACCTGGAAGCTGATTGGATTTTCTGCAGAGCTGCTCCAGATTTTGTACTCTCCAGTTTTACTAAATGACTCCTTCTGTACTGAAACCTGTCCTTTACAAACTGACCCTTGCACTCTGTGCATCATATACTACTGACCCCTGCACTCTGTACGTTATATATCTACTGTGCATAATGTATAGGACTACTGACTCCTGCACACTGTGTTACATACTACTGACTCCTGCATGCTGTGCATTATATGCCCCTGACCCCTGCATCCTGTGCATTGCATATTATTGACCATTACAGTTTGTATGATAACCCCTAACTCTTCTATATTACACACTCCTAACCCCCGAACTCTGTGTATTATGTACTCTTGACCCCACCCTCTGTACACTGGGTTGTACATTATACTGTATTCTCCTGCCCCTGCACTCTATATGCTGTACTATGGCATATGTGAAAGTAGACTTAGGTTGTGTTTATCCATACTTCTTTGGTCCCCTCCCACTGTTAGCACAGTGTGACCACACTCACCTCTGCTGCATCAGTGCTTTCTTCAGGGTGCTCAAGGGTGCTCTAGGTCTCTGACAAACCTAGCAACACCCTTGATGTAAGCAAAAACATGCAACTAGGATTACAATGATTGTAAAGACATTTTTTGTTTGTTTATAGATAATAAACATGTCATACATAACTGTTCTGTGCAATGCTTTTACACAGAGCAGCCCCGATCCTCCTCTTCTCAGGTTCCCCGCTAGTCCCTTCCTCTTGTCAAGAGCCCCCATATCAAGCAGCTTGTTATGGGGCACCCGAGCAGGATCGCTCTTCATTGGCTCACTGACTGTAATTGACAGGCTGCTGTCTCAGCTAATGAGGAAGGAGAGTCCTGGGAGAGAAGCTTCTCTCGTGCATAATGCTGGATTGAGATGGAGCTCAGGAAAGTATTGGGTCAGCTTAGGGGGACTGCTGCACATAGAAGGTTTTTGTTACCTTCATGCATAGAATGCATGAAGGTAAAAAAGCCTTGAGTCTAAAACACTAAATATAAACAATTCTCAATATTTTTTTTATTTCTTTTCAGGGGTTTAATGGATGAGCAATAGAATTACAGAAGATCTTCAACAAGGATTCCCGCGGCTGTCACTTGAAAAATGATGACTTTGTGTTCTGTAAATTCAAGCAGGTGTACCATAAAGCCATACAGTATAGCTTTGCATGCAAAGTAAATGAAAATTCCAATAGTGTTTTCTTGTTGGGGAATTCCACAAATAGAAGATTCTGCTTATAAATGTGTATCGACCGTAACAGGTTTAAAGCTTTCCTTCACGTTCGGATTTGCATTGCACAATGAAACAAGCTTTGCCGATCAACCGTGAATGGTGAGGGCTTAAATCCAAAAGTGCCATTCTCTCGCCCACTTATTTAAAAACCTTATAAAAAAAATAGAGAAAAAAATATAAACTTGTTTAAATTAAAAGAAAATATATACCTTATTTTTCTATGAAAATGAACTGTACATAGAATTTACTCCAATCAGTCGTGTCTTAGAAAAAGGGTAACCCTGTTTGAAATGTTTATTACAAGTGCTAAGCTTTCGAAATATTAACTAGTAGCCTTAAATAAAGTTTTTTAAGCGTCATTTGTATTGTTATTTTTTATTTCAAAACTGTTCATAATTTTAGGGAGGAAAACATTAAAGCTGAACTTCAAACAGCTAAATACACAGACACAATGCAGATGAGGAAGCTGTTCCACCGGCGTACTTTGTGTTTCTGTCCAGGGGCGGATTGACAACTCATGGGCCCCCCCCGGGCCATAGGGGATCATGGGGCCCCTGTGTCCTTGCCCACACTCAAAAAACCTAGGAAAAAGGTACCAGGGCCATTTTATGGGGCCCCCTACTGACCCCGGGCCCTCAGGCAGTGCCCAAGTGCTCAGATGGTCAGTCCGCCCCTGTTTCTGTCTATCTAGCCCTGAGATTTACAGTGAAAGGATAAGCAGCACAGTGATGAGTTTATCCCTCTGTCACTCAGCTTTCTCCTTCTACCATCCTTGTCAGTGCATGAACTGGTTGGTTCCTTGTCAGTGGTGTACCCAGGATATCTAGCACCATGGGCCGATAATTCTTTAGCATCATCCTCACCGCCACAGAAAATGATTTGAAGTACGCCCCCTTCCCCAGTATAAACCCCATAATAAAGACACCCCTCCACCCCAGTACAGACCCCTCAGGATAGACATCCCCACCCTCACTCAGTACAGACTTCCAGCTGCAGCTCAGATGCAGTAACAATTCAGAGCGAGGGGAAGTCTTCCTCTTGGCTCTGTCATATGACCTGAGCCAAGAAGGAGCCTCCACTTGTCTCTGAATTGCTGCTGTCAGAGAAGCAGCAGGTTCCGAATCTCTGGGGGTGCTGAGCCTGCCCAACATTGCTTTTGTTTTGTGTTGCACGATGCTGCAGTGCAGCACAACTAAATTTGTTGGGTGGCCACAACACTCCCAGAAAGTTGGACCTGGTGTGGACCGCATCCCCTTAATTCACTCCCTGTGCTGCTTTTTGCTGTCACAGTCAGAGCTCTGCTTTACAGTAGATTGACAAGGCTGATACCAAGTTAAAGTTGTTGGAAAGGTTTAAGGTTATTTTTACCTTCATGCATTCTATGAAAAAAACATCTGTGTACAGCATCCCCCCCAGCCCCCCAATACTTACCCATTGCTATCCAGCAATGTAAAAGAGAGCCTCGGCTCTCCGGGGATTTTCCTTCCTCATTGGCTGAGACAGTAGGAGCTCTTGATGCTGTCAATCACAGCCAGTGAACCATTGAGGAGAAAGAGGGGGAGGGGACGAGTCATGGTTATGTGTGTGAATGGACACACAGAGCAGCGGTTCAGAAGCAAGCCTTCTTGGGTGCTCCCAGAGCAAGCTGCTTGCTTTGGGAGCACCAGCATGGGACCCAAGAAAAGGAAGATCAGGGCTTCTCTGTCCAAAACTATTGCATAGAGTAGGTAAGTATGACATGTTTGTTATTTTAAAACCAAAAGAAAATTGCTTTTAATATCACTTTACATTTAGGTACATTGCTTACACTTAAAAAATACATTTAGTGAAGAATTTATGAATACCGGGCTGCAGGGGGTACCACCAGTCCTTCTGTACGGGGCCCAGGCCAGCATAGGGAGCAAATCAGATGTGGGAAGGGAGAGACAGGAGATCTGATCCCCTGTATGGCTCTCTTGGCAGCAGCTGAAAGTTGGCTTCTTCTCCTCTCCCTACCACCAGCTTTTAGCTGCTGTAGTGAGAGCCATGCAGGAAATCAAATCTGCGCCCATCACCCTCCCTGTGTACCACGTTTCCCCCTGCTGCCCAGGCCACCCTATCTGCCCCCACAGTGCTTCTGGCCTCCCTCCTTTCTTTTCCATTAGCAGCAGCAAGCACACAGGATGGAGAGTGTGAGAGGGGTCCCGTAAATGTCACATTTGCCAGCCCCTTTCTTTAGTGAATGAACACAATGAGTGATCGATACCGATCACTCACTGTGTTCATACATAATGGAAGCATAGTAAACTGTTTTGTTTTGATTTTTTAGGGGGGCCCTCTCAGGTTGGCTGTATGGAGCCCCATGGTTTCTAACAGCAGCCCTGGCTGCATTGCTTACACTTAAAAAATAAATTTAGTGAAGTATTAATGAATACCGAGCTGCATTTTTTTTCTTTTTATATCTGCTTGAAGTTTGGCTTTAAAATATAATCTACACATGGTATAGGCAGTAATGTAGCCACCAACATCCTAATACAGTTTAAAGTATAACTAAAGTGTATTTTCAGTAGCTACATATTTTCAGTTACTGTTCCAACATTAACACACAGTTTTGTGAATTGTCCACAGAAAACAAAGCGTTCTGTGCATGGACAAGGGGAGAGGAGGGTTGGATACACAACATTGCATTTTTCATATATTAGAGCTGAAGCTCTCATAGCAGCAATGAACTATACCATCCAGCTGAATGAAAGTGTAGATTTACAAGAATAGACAGTAATCCTAGACTCACATCATTAGCAGTAACGTTTTCATAATAATAATGACTAAATTCAGTTTGCCTGGAGTTCTGCAATATGTGACACCAAAAGATATCCTTACTATTCAAGAGTAATTCACATCCACTACTTAATGGCCCTGTAATCAATTTTTCATGAAATAATTGATATTTTCTGCCTCCTTGTAACAACCTCCACAAGCTATCTCCTTTTCCCCCTCACTTCCATTTGTTTGGAATGAGCAGTGCACATTAGCTTCAGTCATGTATACTGCACTGTGCACACTACACATCCCATCGGCTATAGTCCCCAGTCCATTTTGCAAGTGAGCAAGAGAGGGTATCTACATTCCTACTTAGAGTGGGACCCTGGAGAACGAACGTAACCACTAACAGGAAGTTGGATCATGGCA